TGCAACACCGAGGGTTGTGATCCTGTTGCTGGTCCCGGTCCGGTACAGGCGCGACACTGAGGGTTGTGATCCATTGCCGGACACGAAAAAAGACAAAAAGGAAAAAAAAAAAAAATCCCATAAAATTTGAGATTGTATGTCTTAGGATGTTCCTCATTGGCTGTGCAAAAGGCCTCCCCATTTCTGCTAAATTTCCGTCCCATAAAATTTGAGATTGTACGTCTTAGGATGTTCCTCATTGGCTGTGCAAAAGGCCTCCCCATTTCTGCTAAATTTCCGTCCTCCTGGCTATGTTTCAGCACACGCTTTTAAACGCATATCCTACAATTCTCCTGGTGGCCTCAGCAGCTCTACTAACTCCCAAATGGATAAACCTAAGTCAGCCACCATCTGAACGACCACAGCAGTTTTAACACTCAAGCAAAATTCCTCTGTGACTAAATGCTAGGGTCTCTGTTTGAGAATACAAAACAAACAAAAAAGCCATCATGATCCACGGGGAAAGGCACACGGTGGTAATAACATGTGTCCTCTGTCACTCCGGAGCCCAGAGCTAGAGAGAGACTTGCGCCCCTGCCCAGGAGCACCTTGTGCTCTGGACACAGTCACCTGAAGAGCAGCAGCACCAAAACAAAAAAGCCATCATGATCCACGGGGAAAGGCACACGGTGGTAATAACATGTGTCCTCTGTCACTCCGGAGCCCAGAGCTAGAGAGAGATTTGCGCCCCTGCCCAGGAGCACCTTGTGCTCTGGACACAGTCACCTGAAGAGCAGCAGCACCGCCTGGGGAAATGTCTGGAAGTTGTTGTTCCTGTTGATCTGGTTGTTATCTCTCATGGCAACTTTCCCAAACATCTAGGAGCAGAAGTCATTAGGGAAAAAAGAATAGATTTTATCATACCAAAAAACTCATATGTGAGTTTAGAACTAATTCAGGTTTGGTCAACACCAACTAGAGCTTTCTCATGGTACTCGGCACTTCATTCATTCAACAAAGATCTGCTGGGCACAACCATGTTCCAGGCACCATGTTAAATGCTGGGGACATGGCAATCCAGATGGGCATACTCTTACCTGCAAGGAGTCCCTACCCCAGGGGAGAGACAGTAAGGTAACCAGGTAATGATAACAGGCATGATGATGCTGGGATGGTCCAGACTCCCAGAGAAGCACAGAACAGGCTCATCTATGGGAGGCTGGGGAAGACCTCCAGGGGGAAGTGACACGTAAGCCCCAAGCTGAAGGATAAGTGGCCGTCAGCCAGGGACAAGGAGGGTGAAGAGTGTTCCAGGCAGAGGGCGCACAGCCTTCCAAGGAGCAGAGGTGACAGCACAGGTGTCCCAGGAAATGAAGGAACATGAGTGGTGAGCAGACAGAGGAAAGGTCACACTGCAGATGGGGCAGGGGCTTGTGAGCCACAGGATGAGCATGGACTTGACCTTAAGGGCAATGGGAGGTTAAGTAAATGGTTTTTCTTGTGGGACTTAGGAAACTGACTGACATTTTAAAAGAGCTTGATGTCCGGCAAATGCCTGCTGGGTGCATCTGGGGTGGTGTGTGTGACACAGCGGGCAGTCCTCTGGGACACCTCTGTTTTCTATGAGGATGTGTGCAATGACAGACCCTTCAGGGCACACAGCATCACATGCTGCTGAATTACAGGGCTCAAGTACGGTGACTTTCCTAACTCCGAGGAAGATTCCTAGAGACCTGCAAATGCTTCTATGCTTTTGGATAAAAAAGTAAGCACACCCATTTCTCCGTCCCCAGAATCACCTCGCCCTTTCCTCTCTCACATCCCTTATCTGAAAGATGGCATCGGTGCAAGTGAAGAATATGCAAGGAGCCCCCCTCAGGGGTCTAGAACCACAAGCTGCTCTCCCACTCCCTCTCTTCATGGAGGCTCACCCCCCGCCCCCAACTGCCCACTTGGTGTTAGGCCTCAGCTGTTAGTAAGGCCCAATCCTGTCCTAACCCGGAGGGGCCGGGAAGCACGCCGCAGCCTCTCAGCCCCTACAGCAGGGGCACAGAAGAGCCTGGTTTCATGCCTCCTTTTGAAGGTGAGCTACTGAGACACAACAGTGGTCCCAGCTTGATCCTAACCATAGCGTCTGGAAATACTTTCTTTCAAGTGAGAATCTCCCTTGGTTATGATAAACACAATTCTTCAGAATATAAACAGGATTTTCTATTACTCAATATCTTTTGAGTAACATCAGTGCAGAAAATACGACACCCACATTGACAATTACGGCTTCATTCAGTATGGCATTTCCTCTTCGGCTGGGTTTCTTGTCGCCTACCGTGGCTAAAATCAGCTATGGATTTTCTCAGGTTGGGGGGTGGGAGTGCCAGGAACATAGCTCTTCCTGGCGCATTCCAGCCTGTCCACGTTCTCCCGAGCCCGGGTCTCTCTCGTGGCAGAGGCTCTGTCCCAGGAGCTCTCTCCTAAGCAGCCACATCTTCCTCTGTCTTCAGCAGCCAAGGTGTCTGGCTGAGAAGCAATGAACTGGCCTTTCTACTTCTCCTGGCTAAGGTACACCTCGCCCCGGACTCAGGGCAGGAGCCGGCACTCACCTGCATGCCGATAACCGCATAGATGAAGAAGAGCATGGCGATGAGGAGAGCGACGTAGGGCAGCGCCTGGGGGAGAGGACACACGCGGGTCAGTGCCGGCCGCCGGCCCGCACAGGCTGAGAGGCCCCGCGTGGGGCTGCACGCTGCTTTTCTTTTCAGCATGTTATAGTGGAAGGACATCGATGGTGAGGAAGAACTTTTTAAATCCCAGCCCAGCACAACTGCTTCTGTCCTGAGTTCACCTTCCTCATGCACACCCAGTGTTATGACCTTGCGGGCAGGAAGTGCTTTCCACACTTACTACCACCAAACCTTACTCCTAAACATGTTCAACACAGACACATCACTCGCACAATAGTTTTGAAATCCATTATCGGAGTCCTATGTGAGATAATAATTGATCAAGCCATTCCCAAACACTGGACGTTTAGATGGCTTCCACTGTCTTTGGTGGGCACGTTAGGGGTGGGGGGCTATTGAAGATAATGCTGCAAAGTAACATCTTTATGTAAAATCACCTTGCTTCTGCTGAAGTATTTCCTGAGGGTGAAGTCTTAGGAGTGGAATTACTGGGTCAGGGGGCAGAACCATTTTCTGGCTGTTGCTGTAGAAGGCAAAACACCTTTCTTAAAACACACACCTTCTGAAAGAACCACAAGATTGGGGGGCTGGGCCAGGGGGAAAAAAAGGAGCTAGCTGATGTCTGATCAGACCCCAGTCCCTCAATCCAATGTTCCTCAACTCCTTTTCTACTTCATCACAAGGGACAAACAAGTCATGCACACAGCACACCTCCAGGGGTGCCCAGATCGTTAGGCTTAATTCCAAGCACATAAACTTAAAGCATTTACCTTCTCTACTATGAGAAAGCTCATCAGAAAGTCAGTGGCTATCAGACTTCCACTATGCCACCCTCAGACTTGTGCCCGTGGTGGATTTGTGACTGCCAGCCTGGCCTGGTGCAGCAGCACCACCCCAATAACTGGACTGCTTAACAAAGTCCCACAGTTTTGGGCTTTCCTTACCATACCTATTTGCATTTTCTTCCTAGATTACCAAATGTTGGAGAATTTTTTTGGCACAGTTTCTTAGTTCTCATGAACTGCCTCTCTGTGACGTGACTTTCTTATTTATAGTACACCAAACCTTTTTCGTAAAAAAAGAAAAGTTCAATAATTTCTTTAAAAAGAATGGCATCACGTGAATCATTCTATTTTTATAGCAGTTCGTTCACAAGCTTTGGAACATGATATGAATAACAACTGTCAAGGACTGCATGCCTTACAAGACCACAGCTCACCTGCCCAGGCCCCACTTCCCCCACCTCTCTCAGAGCTGTGCTCTGCCTTCCTCCACCTATTCTCCCCAGCAGGGCTGGTGATTGCTCTCCTCTGAGCATTTGCACCTACCCCCATCCCCGGATGCCATCCCTTCTCCCCTTTACACCTGTTAAAATCCTACCCACTGCGGAAAAGGGCTTACTGGGATGTTTACGCTAATTACTCTAGAGGTGGGTGGGAGGCAAGTTTGAACTTTTCTTTATATATATGTCTGGATAGCTTCATTTGTTAACATGAACACATTACTTTCGAAAGAAAAAACAGTTGAAGAAATGAAGATGCATGATTCACTTTCTAATGTTTGCATATACCCACACATTCCCTACATGTGGCACCTTTAACAAGAATCTCTATTCCCCTACCACCCCCGCCCCATGGATTCAGTCCAGAAGACCAGAATATCTGGGGTAGGGTACTGGAAGTTACAGGAGAAGCTGGATCTGCTCAGAAATAGACTAGAACTGGGCTGCACCAGCCTGGAGAATCACAGGTGACGAATGAGACTGGCTTATGCCTAAATGTCCTGAACCCTGTGGTCCTTCCAGAGACTGATGATGGTGTGCTGGCCCAGGTGGAACGGTCTCTGATTTGTATCTAGACTACTGGACAGACGTGACTATAGCAGCCTTCTGAGAAGCCATCCCAGAAAGAGGTTGTTAGACATCCCAGAGGTCTGGGACCATCACTGTCTCACACACCACCATCACCACTGGACATCCTGGGGAGGACTTCACATCTCTCTCAGTCTTGGAAATGTTGCAGATCTCTCAGCTACAGGTCCTTACAGATTTCTCTACAGCTTTCTTTAGGCAAATAATCCTATTTGATTTACCCAAGTAATGCTGAGTTGGGTCTTTCCAGCATTCCACATTCTCTACTGACCTAGGTCCACACAGTGGTCATGTGGTGGTAGCTGGAGTCCTCTGGGACAGGGGACAATCACTGAATGACGTATGATCTTCTAAGACAAATAGAGACCCTTGGCATGGCTCTTACCTGAAAAGACTTAATGAAAGTCCACAGCAGTGTCCGGATGCCTTCCCCCCTGCTGAGAAGCTTCACCAATCGCATCACTCGGAAAAGACGGAAAAAGGTGATGGAGATTCTATTGCTCTCTTCAGAGTTCTGAAGGGTTATCATGGAGAAGTCAAACCCAATGGAAAGTAGAACATGCAACACTTTCATAAAAACAGCAACAGGTGCAAAGGTGACAGAGGTAAGAATTAAAGATGTGTTTCTAGGGCCTTTTCATCTTAAAAAGCATGATATGAAAGGAAACGTTACATGCTAACAACACAAGGCTTGGAAAACTGCGTCCACACAGCACATGCATGTCCACGTGTTGTATTGTGTAAGAGGAGAACACTGGGCTGGTCAAGAGTACTGGACACTGATGATGAGTGCAAACCACTGCAGACACTGTTCTGGAAGGACAATCATGGAGAATACAGAAACACCAGTGGCAAACTCGACATGGTCAAATAGACTCAAGGTAAAGGCCCAGCCCCTGGGGACTAGTCACTGATCTTACCCCAGGTGTAGCAGTTGGGACAGGGACATTTTCACTTTCAGTTGGCTTTAAGAAATCAAAGATTGAAAATGTATTAATGAATTAAGAAGGTGGCAGTGGTTCAGGAGGACATTCCCCCCTTTTAAAAAATGTGTGGTTAATGTACTTGGACAACACACCTGCCCCTCCCTGAGAAAATGCCTGGGGCTGTTTGGAACTGGTTGGACACAGACACACTACTACTGTCTAGTTCTCATCTGAGGATGTGATATCCCCAAGCTGACAGACATCCAGTAAAAGACAGTGCTGCAAAACCTCAGTTGTCCCTAAAGACGAATGTGGAACATGCCTCTCTTTCTTGTAGGGGGACTAATTTTCTGGCCTTAGTCAGGGGTGTGGGTCTCAGGAACTAATTGCTCTACAGCAGGCCTCCTAACCCCGAGGAACAGAAGGACTCTACCAGTGGGCAAAGAGTGGCACCTGCCTAAAGTCTACAAACCTCCTTGGACCACACTGTCCCCATAGGAACAAATGCCTGGGTAGTGTCCATCCTATGATGGCCTCTCCAGCAGGGCTGCTGAGGAGCTGGACAGACTGAGTCAGTGGGAGGAGAGAGACTGGTTTCCCTGCAGAAGTCCCCACTGCTTGACCTACAGCTCACTGCTCAGATGAAAGGAAGTTCAGGTCTGTGTGAGTCTGTGGAAGAAACAGCACAGGACCGGCTTTCCCTAAGCCTCAGCAGTTCCTTGTCATCCAAGGTCTGGCTGGCTCCTACACTTGGGCCCAGGATGCAGACTCCATCATGATGGCTGCTCACTTTTCCCCTACCCACCCCCCTGGAGGGCAGGGACCTCACCTCACTCCACTCAGTGTCCAGCATGGCATGGGGCACATGCTGGGTGGTATGTGTCTCAAAGAATGCAAGGGAGTTGGAAGCAAACTCTAACCAACACCAGGAGGCATCTTTAAATTAAACAGTAAATTGAACCAGAATCAGGAGATTGTGGCCTCTCTTTTCCTTTTGGTGGTGTCACTTCCACCACAGGAGCTGGTCAGCCCCAGGAACTGACAGAGGAAGGAGGCCCTTCCGAGCAGGAGCTTCCAAGGAGGCTCTCTGTTGGGTGTGTCTGTAAAGCCAGGGACACATGTGCACGTGTGGATGGGCACACTTCTTGGGTGGCCTCCTCCCCTGGGGATATGGGGAAAGGAAGGGCTCAGATCTAAAGCCTGTCTCACCAAGGGCTACCTCCTGAGACCAAACAGAAAATTCTATAAAATTCATGCAAAATAAGGGGTATCAGCACACCAGAGAACATGTGAGAGTCAGCAGTGTGACTGCTAACCCAAGACAAACAGGTGTTGCCAGAGCTGAAAAGGATTGCCTGCTTCACCTGGGGTGCTCAGAATGGGAACTCCACAATGGTTTTGTCAAAGCCCAGGGTCACTAGTTTCAATTTCCTTTTCTATTATCTCACCTCAAAAGAAATGACATCTCCTTATAGGGACAGATAATGATGTTTAACTTGAGACTTTAACAAATGAAGGAACTAATTTTTCAGAGTTCTCATTGTCTCCCACATCATTCTCATTAAGGGCTGTGCACAGAGAGGCTTCCCTCTTGCCCAGGCTGGAAGAGTGTGCGTGAGTATGTGTGTAAGTGTGCATGCCAGTGCTTGCCTATGCTCGGGAGACAAGACAGTGTGTGCAAAACAGAGCCCTCTACAGTTACTTTTTAAACACCCGTAACTTGTGTGTTGGACCTGCAAGCTGTGCGTGAGTATGTGTGTAAGTGTGCATGCATGCCAGTGCTTGCCTATGCTCGGGAGACAAGACAGTGTGTACAAAACAGAGCCCTCTACAGTTACTTTTTAAACACCCGTAACTTGTGTGTTGGACCTGCAAGAGGATGAGGCAGCTTATGGGTCGGGGAAGACACTCTTTCTGGCCACGATCTGGCCTGAGCCCTTCTGCTTGCCCCTCCCTGTCCTGCTGCAAGTCTGACAGACCATTCGTGACCCCCTCACTTAGGGTATGTGACAGTTACCAGCCAAACTGACTGTGAAGTGCACACCTCTTTCTCAACTGATGTCTTTCAAATATGACAAGTCATGGACTATGAACTTCAAACCGTGGATATTCTCATTTAAAAGAACAAAAGGGAGGAGACAGCATTTGTGGAGGGACAAGGCAACACCACATGCAAGGAAGGAAAGAACACACAGCACACCGAGCCGCACGCACCCCCCATGTGGCTCGACACCCCCCTCCCGGCACACACCACTGTCAGGCAGGACTGCTTCAGGGGAGGAGGGAGCTAGCAGCATTGATGGACAGTGCAAGCTGCCAAAATATCTTACAAATAGGAAGGACCCTGAGGATGGCTTTGCCCAAACTACAAATGTTGGCCCAATGAAAAGGGCAGGACAGTTCTCATCCTGGGCTGCACACTGAAACTGCCCAGGGATCTTTAACAAAATCTGATGCCTAGGTCCCCCCTGTAGATTCTTATTTAATTGGTCTGGGGTGTGCCTGCGCTATGGGAATATTAAAAGCTCTCAGGTGATTCTAACATGCTGCCAAAGCTGAGAACTTCAGCCCTAGGCCAGGGTAAAGCTGGGCCAAGCACTCAGCTGGTCACCCATGCCAGCTAATTCTCCTTAGGTCTGCAGTGACCATGCAGGGTCGGGCTACTAGGAAAGCCCACCTAGGCTGTTATAGCTGAGAAGTGGGTTCTTTTGGAGTTGATGAGGGTTCAGTAGTCAGAAGAGCCCTGTCTTCCTTACAAGGGATGGAGAAGGCTTGTAAATGAAGGGACCTAGTGGGAGGTGGAGGTGGATTCGAGTCAGCTGACGCTATGCTCAAAGCCAAGGTTACCCGCAGGACACCCATGGAGGACATGAGTTTGGGGAAGAACTTGCTCCCTAGGTAGCTTTCCAAAGACTGCCTTGAGGGGCTGGATAGTGAGTTTTCTTTTTCTTTTTTGTCTTTTTTCGTGACCGGAACCCTTGATGTGGTGTCGCCCGCACCGCGCTCAGCCAGTGAGTGCACCGGCCATTCCTATATAGGACCCGAACCCGCGGCGGAAGCGTCACTGTGCTCCCAGCGCCATACTCTCCCGAGTGCGCCACAGGCTCGGCCCATATAGTGAGTTTTCAATAGGAGGAATTCCAGTGTCATCTCAGGGTGTAGACTGAGTGACCTTAGAAACTCCTTCCAACACTGAGATGTCACATTTCTTCAGCTGGGATCCCTACAGGGAGACAGCCACTTAGCCTCAGGAGGCCTAATTATATGTCAGTGTCCAAACTCCTTAGATTCCTGGGGCTCTCCTGATGTTCCCTCCAGCCCCTTCCCACAGGATTCCAGCAGACTTTTGAATCAGAGGTTCTGGGCCAGCCCCCTATAACTGTGGGAGTCAAAAAACTTTGATTTCCCAAGTGAAATCAATGGAATTAGCCCACATTTTCTGTATTAATTTCCATCTGTGCCTGGAAGAGCTGAGACAATGCAGTTTTCCAACTCAGACAGGAAGCAAACCAGCATCCCAGAATAGGAATAGTTAGGCCAGTTAACCTGAAGCATCCGTGAGGACCCAGTTCTGCGGGGGAGCCTCCCTCTGAGGACTTCTGACTTGACATGTAACACCTCTGGGAGCAGGGGCTTCTTTATTTGGGGTTGCTGGATCTGTGTCCACAACCAACGCCTTCACGAAAAGCTCCTGGGAAAGGGTTAGCGTATGGGGTGGAGGCTGAACAACCTGGCTGTAGGTTCCAGATAGGAAGCTGAGTGAAGCTATTGGCCACTGTCCAAACTGGGTGCCTGACAAGGCAGGGACGATTCTGAAAAGCTCCTGGGAAAGGGTTAGCGTATGGGGTGGAGGCTGAACAACCTGGCTGTAGGTTCCGTACAAGAAGCTGAGTGAAGCTATTGGCCACTGTCCAAACTGGGTGCCTGACAAGGCAGGGACGATTCCTGGGTCTCCGGGAGTGAGCTCCCAACTGACTTTGTACATGTCCTTTGATAAGTAATAACTAGGCAGGCATGGCTTCTAAGCAAGCATTTTGCCTCCCAGGCAATAATGATAAAGGAAAAAGACTAAATGTCAGCAACAGCCATCCCCGGGCTAGGGAAAACACATTGCTGGGTCATTTCAACATTCAAGGAACAAACAGGCATCGAAGAGGGAGCAAAAGTGGGCCCACAGGTCACCATCCGACATTTCAGCAGCCTGGGGATGTTATGACCAAACGTGATGAGATAAGCTACGAGAGCTACCAAACCATGAACATAGCAGGGTGGGGGGAAGTGAGAGGGGGACAGCAGGGTGGAGCGGGCCCGGTGAGCATGCAGGCAGGACACTGCAAAGGGCCATCCAAAATGTTTCTGCAAAGAATACAAATGCAAGCTTGATTTCTCATGTCCAGGCCAGATGATTCATTTTGAAGACTATGCTGGCAAGTCACAGAGCCAAGTGTGACCGACCAAGATGGCCCCAGCTCAGGCCTGAGGGTACAGACAACAATCTATGGGAGGGGAAACAATTTAGATGACCGTGACCAATCCTTAACACATCCTGTGAAACTCAGTGAAACCCAAAGTTGGGGAAGCCAAAAATGAGTATACAGTCTTTAGAAGTGCTTTTGCTTTAACAACGACTTCACCGTATATATGTTTATATGTACTTGCCGCTACAATTTTCTAAAAATAAAACCAACATGAAAATCAATTAGGCAACAGAAAGAAAAATCAGCAGAGTTTGGGGGAGAGAGCACAGCAGCTTAAACAATGCAAAAAATGATGACTATGGCAGCTAAACCAGCCAACAATGGACCAAGGGTGTTCATGCTCAGCTGACCCGGGAGCTCAGGGGACAAGGCCACCAAGGATGTGATGTGCACCATTGCCCTGGGGAACCCCAGGTGTGTTGGGAGGGGGTAGGGGGAGAATGTAGGAACCAGCAGTTTCACTCTTACATATTTATCCCATCAGAGGTTAAGCTTACCCAGTCTTTTTTATCTTTGTGTCTCCTCAGAGCCTAGCCCAGGGCTTACGAAAGGTAGATGCCCAGTAAACGCGTTGAAAGGTGGAATAAATAAGAAGCGGCCTTGACCATTCTCTCTGTGCCAAGGCCCAGTGGAGAAACCATGACATCTCCTAAGGTGGCATTCTACTGGCCCAGGGTGGGAACTGGCATTGCTGTGGCTGAGAAGCAGTCAGTCTCAGGCTACAGCTGACCAGGGAAAAGGTCACTGACTGAAAGCACAGTAAGGGAACATTCACCAGCTTGACTTTGAGTCTAACAGAATGCCAGAGATGGGCTCATGAAAGCCTGTCTTGTACAGACATCCAGTGTCGAATGCTAACTACAGACTTTAGTGTGGACCTGCACCCTTCCTGACTGATGCAAGGTCAAGCAGGACAACAATGAGACGCTGACAAGCAAGGCTGGCTGGAGGGGACAGGTACAGCAGGAGCAGGGCCAGCCCCAGCACACGTGAAGCAGCCAGGATGCTGGGGCATGCTGTCCCTGAGTGCATGGGCACCCACCAGCCAGCAGGTGGGTCAGGCATAGAAAGCTGCATGTTCACTTGGTGAGCAAACCTTGGCCCCATCCTGGTACCTAGACACAAACATTTACATCCACCACCTGCACAACACTTGAAGCACCGAGCTCCAGGAAGACCTGCTGAGATGGTAGCTTATCGTATTTTCACTTCTATTATGGACCGTCTCCGACTTACATTAGGTCTGTTCCAGAATTTTCAGGTTTAAGTATACCTCGATGCAGGTTGGAAGCACTGTATGTTGAGAGATGATGAAGCAGGCAGATGTCTTGCCATGAACTTGGGAGAAAGTCCAGGGCAGCCCAGTTAGGGACCTGCTGTTCTCCCACTTATACCAGATTATTTTATGACCAATCATCATTTACATATCATGAATGGCCATCTTAGCTGATTTATCTAATATTTCACATAAAACAGGATTTCCAGAAGTCATGGCTTCAGGAGGTGGGGGGATGTATGTACCTAGGTTAGTAAAACACCATTTTAGTATCTTGCCCTGGCATGAATTTAGGTGTGATGAGGGTTAAATCATACCCTCGTGGACATGATGTCTTACAGTCCATTTCACTTATTACATAGAAAACCTATACTTAAAAATACCCTTGTATCTCCCTAACACTTTGGTCTTTTAGCAAGAATTTTCACAAATATTCAGATCACTTCATCACCATAGTATATCTGTGAGATGGGATGCAGGGGCAAATATTATTCACCCCATTTGATCCTTGAGGAAACTGAGGCCTGGGTCCAAGCGAGTTTTGAACTAAGGCTGGAGCTGCCAGGTCTTAGAATTGCCAGGCTGGTGGCTGTCTCACTATTCCCACACCAGAATCAGCCTGGCCCCAAACAGATGGCATAAAGGGACCACAAATGCGTGCTTGGTGCAGGCTGTCTGGGCACCAGGATGGACCTCATGATCCTTGGTCCTGCAGATGCCAGCCAGGTGGTGCACTGAGGCGGGGCTGGGGCTGGACTGGTAAGGGAAGCAGAAGCCAGTGCTCACGGCAGTCTCTCCCCATGCTCTGCGTGTCCCCTCAAAGGTTCTGCACAAGCTGGCATACACTGGACACCCACTGAGTCTTGCTCGTGAGCCAGGGACAGGCCATGTGGATGGGGCCCTGTCTGCTGGCTTCAGACCTTGTGGTTCAGGCTGGGGTCAGCCCCAAGGGGGGTCGGGCGGAAGGCCCTCTTCTTTTTTTTTTTTTTTTCCCTGACTGGTAAAGGGATCACAACCCTCGGCACAGTGTGGTCTGCACTGTGCTCAGCCAGTGAGCGCACCGGCCATCCCCATATAGGATCTGAACCCACGGCCTCGGCGCTACCAGCACCGCACTCTCCCGGGTGAGCCACGCGGCCGGCCCAGAAGGCCCTCTTAACTCTGCAGGGGGTTCTCAGGACTCTCCTTGAGCGGAGTGCTCCATGCTGTCACTGCACTTGTTCCCTCGTCAAATGATTCAGATGAATGCTACAGTGGAGGGCCAGCATCCTCTACCTAACATGTACTTGGCCCTCCTGCCCCTGGTCCTGGGCATTGGCATTGCTCCTTGGGGAACTAGAGCGTGGGATGCTCTCCAGGACACAGGTGAGGGCCTGGCCATGGGGCCTCCCTCCTGTGCCTTCACAGAACCATTGCGGGTACAAGGGCACACGCTATTAGCCCCATTTTACAGCTGGAAAAACTGAGGCACAGAGCAGTCAGGTGACCTGCCAAGGTCAAACAGCTAATGAGTGACAATGTTCACATACTGACACAATGAACTCCTAGTCCTTAAAACTTTAATGAGATCTTTTAAAATACTGCTTTAGTCTCAAAATGGCAATTCTACATTTACTTCCCCACTCTTTTTTAGGGGAAGGGGATGGAGATGGAGTAAGAAAGGGGAGACTACAAGTTATCCTTTGAAATAAAAATAAAAAATAAAGACTAAGGAGTCTTTAAAAAAATTTTGCATCTGGATTTCTAAACTGTGTGGAGATTCACAGGTAGGGCTCTTGTGTGTCAGACTTAATCTCTTGTATGACAGACTTAATGAAAACAATCACAGTATAGGACACAAAGTTTGCTACTTACATTCACTTCAGTTATAGCAATATCAACGACGCTACCAACAACAATTAAGGCATCAAAAGTGTTCCATGCATCAGTGAAATAGTGCTGTTAGGGCAAGCATTCAGAAGCCACAGAGGAGAGAAGCACAACAGGAAAAAGAAGAAAAGGACAGTGTTATAAAGGGGGAACACTGCAGCATTATGCCACCCGGCTACTTGAAACATCACCCTAAAATAAACACGTTATAGATACATCACTTTGGGTATTGATTCTGACACAGCAAATAAAAACAATGAGACACACCCTATCTTCCCCTGCCTACTAGTGACTGGGGTAAATGGTGCAAGAAAGTCTGTTCTCCAAAAGGTGACTTGGGTTTACAAAGGCCTTGGGATAAGGCTCTATCCTAAAAGGTTTCTTTCCCACCACTTTCCTTAGGAAAGTCCTAGTTTTGATCAAGTGATCAGGATCTGTGACTTGTCCAGGTGATGCCACGGCAGGGCAGGGAGCGGAATGTGCATAGACAGAGGGGACAGGACATAGGCGGCACAACGCCAGGTGCATACTCACGTCCGCTTCGCTGAGGGCCACGTCTATAATGCTGCCGATTACGATGAGGGAGTCAAACGTGTTCCAGGCGTCACTAAAATACCCCTGGACAGAGCAGGCAGGGGCAGATGTTTATGAGCATGAATAATGAGACATCACACGGACCAGATGGGGACACATCTGAGTCCCTGCAGCACCCATGGCAACCAGGTGGGGTGGGAAAGCCAAAGGGAGGCAACAATACTGTCCACTGGTGGAAAGGGACACAGAGGAGTGGCTGTGCCTCTGTATGTGTGAGGGAGAATGCATGCACGCACACGCACACACACATACACACACACACGTGTGCACATGACACAGCCCCATCGTGCTCAGCAGCACCAAACCAAGCAGAATATCTGCAGAACAGAAAGGGCATTTTGGCAACCCTGCCTGGCACCACAGAAGAGGAAGGCCATCCCACTCCTACGTGTGCACATGACACAGCCCCATTGTGCTCAGCAGCACCAAACCAAGCAGAATATCTGCAGGACAGAAAGGGCATTTTGGCAACCCTGCCTGGCACCACAGAAGAGGAAGGCCATCCCACTCCTGTAGAGCTCCAGTCACCCCCCTTGCTTCTCTTCCTCCACGTAAAGAGCCCTGGCACCAGGCATTTCACATGTTCTCCTTTCTGTGCCCCTTGAAATAGATGAGCAGCCTCCCCCGTCCTCCCCATCCAGCTTGTATTACAAAGGCTGTGCCCCGTGGCAGCATGACTGACTGTGACAAGGCTCTGTCCTCAAAGAGCTCTCGGTCTAGTGGCCACAGACACACAGTAAGGGCTGACAGGGACATGGGCACTGTGATGCACAGGGCCCGCCATACACCACTGAGGCAAGAAACTCAGTTATGATTATGGGCTGGGGGCTCAGCACGGGGAAGCCATGGCAGGTTCTAGAGAGGAAGAGTACTGAAGGAACAAGAGTGTGTTCAAGGGCTCCACCGCCCTCAAAGGAAGCCCAAATTGCCCACAGACTCCTTCAGCCTCAACTCTTGCTCTCTTCTCCACCCTCTCCATCCTCCAGGCTAAGAGGAACCTTCCCTCCCTGAGAAACACCACCGGGTGTTTCCCCACCTCCTGATACCTCTGCAATCCTAACCTCCCCATCCCAACTCCAGTGGCTCAAATTCACTTCCTTCTTCAAGGTCAGACCAATGCCAGCTCCTCAATTGACCCTTTTCAGCCCCTCCTCATTGCCCACACCCAATCACGCTGACTCTGCATCTCTCTCATGTCTTGATCACCGAATTTTGGGTCTCTGTCTGCAGGTCTGCCTGACTGAAAGCCCTCTGAGGACAAGGATGTGCTGTTTATTCTGTCCCCACCTGCACCAACTCCAACATCTAGCCCAGAGCCTTGAGCCCAATTGGTGCTTGACATGTGGTGACATCTCTTTCCTCCGCCACCTTGCACCCTACTCGTCATCCAGCTTCGCCTGGATCTCATTTTTTCAGGTCCTCTCATCTTGTGACAATTCTGAAGGCACAACACCCCCACAATCGTGACTTGCAAATCCATATGTACGTGCCATACCTTTTACATCTCTTCTGGGATTAGCATGGTAGGTACTAAATTAGTGCCTGCTGTCTCCTGACACCCCTGGGAAGCCCTCAATCAGAGGGGGTGGTGGGGAAGTACTGCACACTGAGCCAGGAGGCTTCTGGTTACAAAGGATGGACTGTCAAGGTCAACTACTCTGTCTATAAATCAACTGTGTCTTCTCAAAAAGTCAGAACATGTTTTGGAAATAAAAATTCAGGTCTGTATTGTATAAAAGGGGCCCAGCATGCTTACAACTGGGTACATTCAGTGTCATATTAAGAAAACCAGAACAGAAGGTACTTTGAAGTGTCAGATCCCAGGAACTTGTGATCAAACACAGGCCCAGAGGAAGCAACTGCAGAGCCATAGCCTTTTGTGACTCTATGGAAAATGTGGATGTGCTGACTGTCCCAGTAACTGGAATAGGGATGTTGATTCTAGTTACCATTAATCATTGCAGGTACATTTGCAGGAGAGCTATGACACTGATGACTTGTTTTTAATTTCACCTTAAATAAGATTTCCCCATCCAACTGCGTGATTTCTGACCCATTCTAAACTCTCCCCCAACTCCGTACAATCACAGTGCCTCTCTCACACTCTACCCTCCCAGATTCTTCTTCCAGCAGTCTAATAAGTTAACACAAGGAGTTAATTTGCAGCAAATTTGATGATCTGTGTATGAAAGTCTAATGGGAAGGTCTACTTAAAAAATACCACAGCTTATACCTTCTGGCTTTTCTTTTCATGAATTCCTGGTTCTTGGCCGGCAAAAAGATGGGCCATCTTTGAGGTCTAGACTAGTGGTACTCAGTAAGCGGGTCACAGGTGAGATGAAGAGCTAGCACTGGGACGTAAAGGAACACACTGCTTCTTCCATCGAGGGTCTCCCAACATGAAGGTCAGCTGACTGGGCATGCTCAGTGTTGCAGCTGACGTATACGGTTGTGAGCAGGCTGGGGCCGCTTATAACTTATCTATATTGTTGTGACAATGGCTAACAAGAAGTTCTCTGAAGGGTAGCTGTGCCACAGACTATTTTGAGGGGCAGAACGTGCTCTTTTCTTCATAGATTTAACAGCAGGTCAAACACTAAAGTGAACGTGGTGCTCCTTCCTTTCTCCAGGGAGGAATTTATGCCTTAATCAAATGCTTGGTCATTAGCAGCACTGAGGCCTCCCAAGTAGGAACAGAGCAGTGAAGGCCCAGTGTTCCTGTCTCCTGCTGCAGCATGTGACGGGTCCTGCTGTGTCTGTGCCACCTGCTCTGCTCCTCTCCTGTCTCTGCCCCGACTCACCAGAGGCCAAACCCATCATGTATGCACTAGACACCAGCCCCTCACACCTTCTTTGGGACTTGATTCCTGAACAACTTCTCTTTCTCTCCAGGAAGATAATACGCTTGCCTCTGGGTCATTCCCATCTGCCTACAAGCTATTCCCCGCTGAGGCAATTCTGGTGCACTGTGGTGGATAGAATGCCTTTAAATCAACATGACAGGGGCTTAACACCTCTTTTAGGTCCTACGACTTTTTGGCAATCTCATCAACCCTCTCTCCAGAAAACCCCTCATACTCACAGAACTATGCCAAAAACCTAATGGTTTATGGACTAAAAGTTGACACCTCTAATCCCTCTAATCAAGGCGACAGCAGGCTTGAGATGCTGCAGGTGGCTGGAATCACAGGCTCTGACCAAGTACCTCTGACAGGAGTCCAGGGGAGGCAGAAGATGCCAGCCCTCCCTTTCTGCCCACACACTGCTTCCCTGTTTAGTAGCCTCCTATGTAATAACATCATTGTCAAGTGAGCATGACTCAGCTCCCCCATCCTCTCCCCACCAAAAGCTCCATCACATTTTAGTGACCAGAAGATCAGACGCAGGCTCCTAACAGAGGGCCCATCTCCACGTCTCTCCTCCTGGCCCATGGCCACATTTTCTACAACTGGATTCTGAGGCCAGGGCCTTTCCAGTAGAACCATCAGTCAAATTTATATTATTTTTTTGTCCAGCTCCACCTTCCTAAAAAGATCAAGCAAGTCAGCCACATACAATAACATTTATTACTCGGAAACATTTCCGACTCTGGAAATTTAAAATCATAAACCAGACTAACACGGGCCTTAGGGCCAGGAAGCTCCATTATTCCTAAGAACCCTATAGTCATTGTCAATGTCTATCACCTGCCTGACAATGGGCTCCTGGAAGGCAAAGACTAGGCCCTGACTATTCCTGGACCTCTAGCCAAAGTACAGCACAGGCTTGGCACATGGTAAGGGGGCATTGTTTATGAAATGGTTATATATGGAAAACGAGAAAAGCAGTCCAAGTCCAGGTTCTTCTTCCTGCTTGAGTCACTCTCATCTGCAGATCTGAAGACGCCTACATAAATGACCTACCTTTTTTTTTTTTTTTTACCCTGGCAGCCAGATCACTTACCAATTTCTGGAAGGGATTACTTGGGTACTGTTTGACCCAAGTGATGGCCCCCAGTGCCAACTTTTGGTAGAAGCTGTAACTGGCAGGTTTCTAACTAGCATAAACCTTTCCAAAGGTCAAGTGGGGACTGAAGGGAAAACATATTCCTCTTTGGCCACTCCGCTGTACCCAAATATCCCGTGATAGAAAAGCGAGTGCCACCTCATGCCAACGGGCTGCCCCTACAGGCCCATGCATCTATTCCTTTCTCCATCCCACCAGATTCTACTGAGTAACGACCACATGGCAGGCAGCATGTGAGGCACTGCGGACCCAGGGACAAAAGACTTGGCCTGTGCCCTCAAGCAGCTGCTTGTCAGGGAATGGAGAGGCAGACATGGAGGAGGGCCAATAACAAGGACGTGCAGGGAGAAGCGTCGAACAAGCGCACGGGTGAAGGGAAGGGCTCACTCCAGCTGGGCTGGTGGGGATGGCGTCACAGAGGAGGTAAGGTTTTGGACGGGCCTCAAAGGATAATGAAGAGAAAGAAGGGCTCCCAGACAGAGGCACGAGGGCATGGAAAGGTCTAGCATGTTAACACTTGGGGAGTTGGGGGGGCGGAGAAGAAATGGCAGGGAGGGAGTGACAGGAAGTGAGCCAGAAACGTACCTGGGCCAGTGTTTTGGGCAGGACTTTGAATATTAGTCTAAGAAAACCATATTTTTTTTTCCTCAAGCAATAATTTCACTTGAAGAGTAGCCTGGTCAGCTTTGGGTTTGCAAAGGGAGTAGGTGGAAGATGAATGGAAAGGTCTGAGGCCAGACACAGGGAGATCATTGACAAGGCAGGCAGCAGGACAGCCTAGCAGAGGAGGGCTGTGCAGGCTTGGCTGGGACAGAGTGGTGGCTGCTGATGCCCTGGGCACACATGCATCTTTTGAGGTGAGAAGAGGACCAGGAGTGAGGTCTGGGAGACCTCGATACTGAAGGAACAGGGTAAGAGGATGGAGCCCGTTGAGAAGCCCAGTGGAAAGTTCCAAAGACAGTAATGTTTAATTTCAAGGGTTATTTGACATTAAAAATAAGCTAGAATTGGGCCGGCCCGTGGCTCACTTGGGAGAGTGTGGTGCTGATAACACCAAGGCCCCGGGTTCGGATCCCATATAGGGATGGCCGGTTGGCTCGCTGCCTGAGCGTGGTGCTGACAACACCAAGCCAAGGGTTAAGATCCCCTTACCGGTCATCTTTAAAAAAACAACAATGCTCTTCAGGTGTAGGGATACTGTCACTGTTTTACAATTTCTCTCAATTGTAATTTGAGGGTTGTCTTATGGTATGAAAATACCTTGCTGAGTAAAACTACAGCAGCACAATTTCTAGCGGAAACCACCCATTTAAAAACTTTGATCTGTTAAGTACTGATTATAAATAAGCTACTCATTTCCCCTTGGTATCACGCATCTGTGCACATGCCGCTCCATTCTCTTCCCAGGTTCGGAGATAATGGGCAAAGCAGCATGCTATAAGCCACCAATGCACTGGCCTGCTAGAGGGCATGTGTACATGCACACACACACTCACTCACACACACACACACGTGCATACATGCTCACACACACGCTCATACGTATGCTCTCACTCTCTCTCTCTCTCTCTCACACACACACACACACACACACTGTGAGTGTGCTTTCTCTTCTGCCTCGAACAAGCTTTCAAAAACTTCAGAGCTTAATCACCAGGCAAGGCATCTAGGAAATGTTCATGGCACAGGTATCTAGGAAATGTTCCATAGATACTTGCATGTTCCACGTGCATTTCTCAAGTACTTTCAATGTTCTTACTTTGCAACCTTTTCCATCAGTCCAGACAAATATTGTTCAAAGAAGTAAAGGAGAGAGGGAAGCAAACTAAAATCTCAAAGGAAGTTAAGATGAATTTGGAAAAGGAGGAAATGTTTATGTAGGCAGATGTGGACAAGTCACAGTAGATAACATCTGGCCATGCACAAGGTGCCAAATTTGACCCACTGCAATCACCCCAATTAATCACTTACAAATGTCCTTTCTTTAGGGTCCACAAAGATCTGATAAAGATTGCATAGGAATTCATTCAAATTAAAGAAAGGAACAGTTTGGAATTAGAATTTCACGTAACTATGTAGTTTGTAAAACCATCCCATTTCTTAATCTATGTCTTACTTAAATCAGTGTCCTCAGATAGCTTACGCACAGATAAATAACTGGTCACTGGACTCTGTCACTCTCTGAGAGTCTGGGCCTATTCTAGGAAAGAAACTGAGGGTCAGATGTCCCACTGTCCATCTCAACTCGGCTCCTCTGTCTATGGCTTTAGAATGAGAGGAGGTCGCTGCCTGGTGGGGACAATGACGACGATGGTAATAGGAGCAGCGGCCGACAGGCCACAGCATGGTAGTCTTTCATGCACTGCATATATGGCAATGCTTTACTCCTCACAACAGCCCCGAGAAACAGGCCTATTCGTATCCTCGTTCTCTGGATGAGGCAATTGAGGCACAGCACAGTTAAGTAACTTGCTTAAGCTAGTAAGTGGCAGAGTAGCGATCAGGACCTAGTACAGTTGCACAGCTGTGCCCTTGGACACTGAGCTGTACTGCCTCTTACACTACAGCCACTGATGATCGTGGAAAGGGACTCACTTCCTCCCAAAGGAGACAAAATATGCTGATTGGTCCAACACAGTTTAACAAATGTCATGTCTTGTTTTGTCTTAAAGTCAAGTAAAATTTTTCTAAATTCAACGAACTGTGAGAGGCCTGCGCTGGCATTACAACTTTCCATAAAAGGTGAAAAAGGTGCCGCAGACCAAGAACAAATAAAACCCAAGTCTTTATGCTAGAAATCTGAAAGTAAAATCAGGGCCAAATTCTCTCTGATGGGTATGTTCAATCATTTTCTCCAATGCTCAAATAAGAGACAGGTTTCCCTGACACAGCATGACACATGCTATTCTAGAAACAGAAAGTCAGGTTTCAAAACCATCTCCAAGTCTACAAATTCCCAATTCTCTCCTCCCTTCTTTTTTCTCAGAATTGTTTTCATGAGGTTTTGTTTTTACAGATTCATTTCCCCCTATGTAGACAGATGCCTTAATCAGATTTTAATGTTCTCAGGTGGTAACCCAGTTAGTGGCCAGAAAACTCGGCAGAATTCAGTAACACAAGACTAACAGGAAGCGGTGCTTCTCTGGGGTGATTCAGCAACAGCCTTTGAAGAACGGGTTCAGCAACTCACCTTAGGCTTAAACGCAATGACTTTCAAAACCATCTCGACAGTGAACACCCCAGTGAAGACCATGTTCAGAATGTCCATGGCATCATTGAACATCTTGGACTGCTCGTAGTGCTGTGGATGAAGACAGAGGTACAGTTCTCAGAGACTCGGCTGCAAATCCACGTGCTCACAGATGGAGGCCCCCAGCCCTGAGGCCCTGCAGGAGACCTCCACAGTCTAGCACCCTCTCCCCATGGTTCGACCGGCACTGCACGGTCACACGGTGAACTCCCACAAAGCGCAGGGGGTCCGTGACAAGATGAGGATGATTGAATGATGAAAGGGAAAAACATATCCATTTCCTCTGCTCGGGATAAAGGGAATTCACCCTTTCTTCTGGCAGGGCTTATATTCAGGGCCTTGACCAAGGCACAATGCAGATACCACTAAAATGTCCATGAATAAAGGTAGAATTTGGTTAGGGATAAATTTTAGGCCACTTAGGTCTGTGTTTAATAAAAGGCGGTATTACCTTGACTTTTTCCTATATCTGCATACAGTCCTTTCATATAAGAAAAATTCTTACATTAAGAGAAGTACCAGAGAATTTATCCTGGACTGTCTTTAGACCCATTTTCCAGGAGCACTGAGAGCTAGTTTGATTTGCTCAAGTTGTTAAAAGTCAATACAAAAACTGAATTTAGACTTTGGTCTTTGTTTCCTGTCCTAGTATAATATCTACTAGACAACATAACTTCTGAAAATGTTCACTGCTAATGCTGCACGGTAATCTGACTTAGCCAGTTAAAGTGAGCTACATTCTTTGCTCCAATGTAAGCAAGAAGTAACTAAAATTCAGGTCAAACTCAACATATCACAAATCTGGAAAATTCCCCACTGCCATACTGAGAGCCACTTGATGACAGGAATGTGACTTATGTTTTGTTTTTCAACATCGGGTGTTACTCTGTGACAGGCTGAGATCAAAGTACCTGACATGAATTATCTAACATAAACCTTATCTCTGAGATAGGCGTGGTAGATTTCCTCATTTTACCAATAAAGATAGCAAGGTTCAGGGAATTCAAATAACTTTCCCAAGGTCCTCCAACTGCTAAGGAGTAAAATCAGGACTGAAACACCTGTTTAACTCCAGAGCTCTAGTTCTCAACCACTAACTGGCCACAGGAGGCCCATGGTAAGTACCTACACAACTGAATGCCACGTTCAAGATCCATGGAAATGTCACCTATCACCACGCTGTACAGTCTGTTAAACAAAAGAGCAGTCTTAGACTCCTACCTTGACAAGTGGTAGCCAGAAAGTGACTCTAGCCAAACTATAGCCCAGATTCATCAGAAAATCAAACCCATCCTCTTGCCAGAGGGCAGCATTCCACCCTCAGAATTTGGGGTGTGGGGCTGTGCAGAACGCCCAGACGTGCCCCCCACAGCTGTTTCCATTTTTACCTGCATGGCCAAGCAGAGTGTGTTGAGCATGATGAGGACAAACATCATGTATTCGAAAGGCGAAGAGTTCACCACGTACCAGAACTTGTACTGGTAGGGGTTTTTGGGGATGTATCTCCGCAAGGGACGTGCTTTCAAGGCGTATTCAACACACTGACGCTGCAATGGCAGAAAAGAGCAAAAACAGGTTCTTTTTTTTTTTTTTTTTTTTTTTTTTTTTTTTTTTTTTTTTCCT